AGGAAGAACCCAGAGGTTGTGATTCACACCTTTTAGTCTGTCTGCCTGTGTGTGATGTGGTGTGTAAACGTCAAGGTCTTTTCTGCGAGCTCGTGCTGCATTAGCGCTTTCTGTTTGGTTTTATAGAAATGTAAACAATTGGTGCGGAGTGTAAGTAGAGTTTTGCTGCACGTCAAATGTATTTATCTGCTCCGAAGGGACAAATACACTAGTCACTTAATTTAGTTGTTAACGAAACATTGACCTTTCATTCGAGCCTGGAGGCCGCAAAATGGGTCACGTGACAGCCCAGATATTTGCAGTGCTTCTCATCACTAGCCTTGTCAAATCACAGCACACTTCACTGCTGCCTGCGAGGCCCAAGGCTGGACTTCAGCTATGCAAGCTGATGCATAGGTGGGCTTTTTTTTCATCCTTTAGCTCATGTGCTCCGCAAGCTTGTGTAACGCAGACATGGCGAGGGTATTCTGGGACATTAATGCACATTAGCATGCATTTGTGGCAGATTGCGTGAGTATGTTTGCATGAGAAACGGCAGAGCGAATCATAAAGGAACACCGTTTGCAGGACCAATGCATTTCAGGCTGATTAGCCTTGTGGAGGAGCTTCTGGAGAGAATCCAGGACAAACTCTTAACTTGTAAAACAAATAAATCTGTAAAGGTCAGGAGTCTTTTGAGAGCTAGCTTCTCTGCATAAATTGGAGGGCTTGATTTTCTGTATCTTTTTGGAATTGAAGACCTTGCAGTAAATTTACTTAAACATTGAATGTATATTTAATCTCCCTTAGGATGGGTTTAATTTCTTTCTTTCCTGTCTTCCTGACTTTTATAACAGATAAAGAGAATAAAGAGATACAGAGAGGTAAAGTTGCTACTTTCCTCACAAATATAGCTGTCAAACTAAAAGTGGAACAGTAACTGCTTGGAATGAAGATGATTCTGACCTTCTTTCCCATTCAACTCGCTCTCGGTTGAGCCAATTGTTAGATTAAATAATTCTGAAGCTGCACCGCTGTTCATTTCACTCGGGAATATCTGAGACATTGTCCGACACCCCTTGGGCTGCCGGATTACTTTTCACAGAGCAGCTATTCAAGGGGAAGAGGTGAAGGCAACTACTGCGACAAGTACGAAATGTCTGCATGCTACAAGCCATTAAAAAATACTTTTTATTTAGTACTTATGCATAAGCATGAACAACTCTGTAGAGTTCTGCCATATTAAATACTCTACATCTGTTGTTTACATTTCTGTTATCCAGCCTCACCTAATAGAGGTGCAATTAATATGTGACATTCAGTTAATATAAAAAAAAATGTGGAGAACCAGTTTGCAGTTTGGGTAAAATGTGTGAGAACTCATCAGTCCTCGACTTTACATAATGTGGTCCAGTCATTAACCGATTCAAGATTTTCATGGCATGAAAACTGAGCAAAAATATTACAGTTTATCCTTATGACAATATTTGGAGAGAACTAAAAGAAAATTGCTAACATCACCTTACTTCTTTTATTTCAAACAAAAAAGTAATGACTGTCCCCTCTGCTGCTTGAAAACTGCAGTTCAGAAAGTTATAGCATGTAACACAGACTTAAGCAAAATATAAAATAAAATCCGGTGAAGCTTGTTGTTTTCAATTGCTCATTGCACAGACCATTATACTTTTTTGTTTAGCTTGTTACTCAGGAGAGCTTTGTGCGGGGTTTGATATTCTGCTGGCTGTTTAAGAAATATGCAGCTAATGGACTTATTAAGCAGTGAAATTATTTCCACAGCTTTTTTTATCTGAAAATATTTCCAGTCAGTTTTTTCTATCATAAAATCAAAAAAACGCTCTTTCGGCCAATCAGGACAGCTTCTCCTTCTGTTTGCTGATTGGCCCGGTAGAAAATCTACCGGAGATAATCCAAGTGAGCGGAAGAAAGCTCAGGCTGTGCATTAGGCAAGATTTCTTTTAAAACGACAGGACAGCTTCAAGTTATAGATTGAATAGTAGTTTTTATTGTTTTACTGATTCAGACAAAGACGATGCCAGTAAAGCGGTACTGTCATCATCAGTAGAGTCCAGACGTTTACGTATTTAGACGTTTACACATTTAGTAAACGTCTAAATATGTGGAGACGTTTATGACCACTTGAATATGTCACTTCTTCCTGTTTCTACACAGTTAAACAAACAGGAGAACCTAACATAGTTGCAGACTTAGAAAAAGATCTAGTGTTTCTTCAGTATCACTTCAGAAACTATAACGATTTCTTTCAGCATTTTGCCGTCTTTAACCATGATTAATCTTAAAGACACGCCTTGACAGCTTTTTTAGCTGCCACATAGCAGAAAAACAATTTCTCTGTGGCTCGGAGGGAACCTCGGCTGCCATTAATCTGAGAAAAAAATCTTTGCCAGGCCTCTCATACGCCATTTCAGAGGTTGGGAGGGGTAAGGCACGGAGAGGCGGGGAGGGTGGTAGGTCACTTGGTGGTCCAGTGGACTGGAAAATGTTGCAGGCCTCTGGCTGGAAGTTAGTGCATAGCTATGTACGCTGGAGCTAATGTGGCCACTGGCTCATTGGAGCTCTGATTTAAGGAACACTGTGTAACACGGCCAAATGCCTCAGTAAAGACGAGTGTCAAAGACAAACCACTGAGGCCAGTGAAGCAAAGTGGAAAAATTGCTCCCAGTCGTCTCTCATGGCAAATTCATAAATTTGGGTTAGGTAATAAAAAAAAAAAACTACCCAAAAAACAGATTTTTAATAAATACAGCAAAGAAACCAACAGGAGAGGTGGTCTGAGAAAAGAAGACTGCATCATCCAGTCGCATGCAGGGCGCTCTCAGCCTGCTACAGCAGGAGCTGCTGACAGGTTGGTCATCAATGAAAAGAGGCGGAGAAAGAGAACAGAACAAGAGAGGGGAAAGAAGGGAAAGGAGAAGAGAGAAAGAAAGGGAAGCTGACAGGTTCACCCCACCTCCCCTCTTGCGCCCCCACAGTCCACAGCAATCAAGGAGGTGAGGACACAGAGGGGAGGAGAGGCGAGGAGCTTCAAGCTCAGCTACATGTCAACCCAATCATTGCATCACATGACCATTTAAATTGGCATGATGGGTGCTGTGCAGTGGGGTAGATTTTCACAATGTCGTCCTGCTGATTAGGAACCGTCAGCATGAGATGGCATGGCTCACGCAAGTTGACGTGTTTCACACTTGACATCTGTAGTTTTGGTGCGTAAAACGGTTTTGGATGATGGTAGAAATCTCTCTGGTCTCCAGATGACCAGCGCTGCTGAAACTTCCAAACATGTCAACCCCACCTCCCAAAAAAACAAACAAACAAACAAACAAAACAAAACACGAACGACACCAGATAATCTTTATGTGATAGTTGTCCAGATCTGTTTGCATCACACCCCACGTGCACGCTTCGCAGCGCGGACGTATGCAAATCGGAGGCGAAGAATGGAGAATAATATAGTCACTCTGAGGACAGAATGTGGCGGCAGCGAAGCAGGGAGGGCGGTGGAGGGGGAAATAGCCCCGTTCATCTCCTCTCGTTTTCTGCCCGCTACTACCCGGCAGAGTTTCTATGGCAACCCCTCAAAAAGCGGTGTGCGGTGAATTGTGGATTTGAGATGCGCCGTCTGATTGCGCTGTGCGGAGGAGATGGCGGGCTCTTTCGTCAGCCTTTCCCCGTGTAAGAGGAAATTGGGTGAAGGGCTCCAATGAAACAGCACTCCATATGCTTTCTTTGATCTGCGTGCCAGTCTTCGGGCTCCACGTCATGTGGTGTGTGTGTGTGGGTATGTGTGTGTGTGTGTGTGTGTGTGTGTGTGTGTGTGTGTGTGTGTGTGTGTGTGTGGGTGTGTGTGTGTGTGTGTGTGTGTGTGTGTGGGTGTGTGTGTGATGGAGTGCACAAAGTGTGCAGAGCGGGCTCACCAACGCTTCACTTTAGGAATCCGGTGCCCGCCTTCCCTCCTCACCAAGAGGAGCCGCTTGTCACTCTTGGCACCCACCAGACATCGCTCATGTCTCAGAAAAAAAAAAAAAAAAAAAAAGAATGAATTTTTCTGGCGGACCGTGTGGACTCATCAGTATGCTTTGACTTTCAGCTGATTGATTCGATGCCACTGATGACGATTCACTTCTCTGAATTCAAACAGCAGCGTGCGGCGCAGTGCAGTTTGAGTCCCGAGTGTGAAATTATGACAAATGGAATAGTTTCAGATCCCCGCAAGCCCTCCCCTCCCTCCGCTCGCCACCTCACTGATTTTCTTTCTTTTCTTTTTTTTTTCTTTTCCATGCAGGCAGTAACTTGTGCCCGTGACTGACATGCACTGATGCGGGGGTCTTTGTCACAAGACCTGCTCCTTCCTGTGCACGAGCAGGACATGTAGGCTGTGTTGTTCAGTGGGAGCTCCACCTCTCCTCTTCTGAGTGGCTGTATGATGCTTGTAAGCTGCGCCAGTCCCCATTAGCATCCCATTATGAACCAGCATGATCACTCGTCACTTAAAATGCCTGCCACAGCATGCTCTATGTGTGTGTGTGTGTGCGTGTTTTCTTTCTTTTAAAGCACGTGTGTGATCGTGAAAAAGAATCACAGTCAAGTGATTGAGATGGCCTTGTTTCAGAAGAAGAGGTTCAGAAAAAAAAAAGAAGAAAGAAAACAAAGCGGTAGCAGAGCCTTGCAGTGAATGCAATTTCATTTAAATGTCTCTGCAAGTGTTTGGTTTGTTTGACCCAGATTTCTCACCTACCCCGCAATTGATAAATTGGATTTCCGGAGGCAGCCTTGTGCAACTGCTCAATGTAGTTTCTATGTAGCGAGCAGCGCCCTCTGCTGAGCATGCCCGTGTTGCACATGGTTGCTTTTCAAATCCACAGTGCTTACAGCCATGTGAAAAATATAGCAGCCTGTTTTCCTAACATATGGGGGCATATGGGTTCCACTGATTCATTTTAAAAACTGAGAAAAATGGAAGTAAACATGATCAAGCAAGTAAGATTAACAAATATACAACTTTCTGGTGAGGAATAAATTAGGAACACTCCCACATTTAGATCCACGAACGTAAAATAGCTAAAATGACATCAGGAGCACAAGGTTATAACAGTGGTCTCTAAAGGAGGTTTGCCTTTTTGAACCTGAGACATTTAGTTTGCTGTGCTTCTGACTGTTTGGTGAGCTGTCTGGAAGAAAACCTCAAATTAAATGTGATGCATGGAGGGGTAAATGTCATGGCTTGGGAATGCCTTCTATATCTAAACAGCTCATCATCATTTCCCCCATGGGTTGTGCCACCTTGCTGAACAGGTGAGATGATCTGTCGAAATAAAAAAGGCTTTTGCAGTCCGCAGTGAGAAACCAGGTAAAAACCTTCACCAGTGCTTTACGGATGTGGCTTTGAGCTCAATACTTTGCGGTGGTAAAACTTGATTCAAAAGTGCTTACCAATAGATCGTCCTGCTTTGTTTATTTGTAGGTTCTTTGAAGGCCAGTATTGTTACCATTATTTCAGTGTGACTCCACAGATCTCTGCTTGTCTCCTGTCACGATTTGAAAACTTCTGCACCCACAGTCACAAATTCTTTTGAACTCACTCAGGTCTGGAGGAATGTTGAGGGTCTCTAGCCCCTCTCCCTGGAGATTAGAGCTGCCCATGCATGGCCTCTCTCCTCTCCTCAAACTCATTCCATGGTGTGCCCCCTAAGAGCTGCTGCATTTTTATCTGAGCCCAGTGATTGTGACAGATTGGGCCAATGATGCACGCACGCACACACACACACACACATGGTACACATTTGTGTACACACATGTTCGAGGCGCTATCAGAGGGGAGGCTGCTTTGCCTTGGGAGGGACAGACAGTGCCAGGCATGGGGTATAAAACCCTCCAGGAGGTGACCGGAGTCCTCCTCTAGGCTGGACTCTTTCTCAGTCCTTTGTGCCAGGACACTGTCAGGACCGGCAGCAGACGAGCCGCCAGCATGAATGACATCTACAAAGCAGCGGTATGTTCTCTCACTCAGCTCATATGCTTTATGGTGTGTGTACAATCAGCTCCTTCTAATGAGGCGATTTGGTTTTGCTGGATAGTCCCCAAAACCCAGTGAGAGCTAATCTGGGAGGAGAAGGATTTTGTTTGGACATCATCGCTGTTACCATTGATTTGTAGAGAGAATTTGGTTTGTTCTGTACAAGGCTTGAGAGTTTTGTGATTGTTTAATTAGCTGGAAAAAGTCCAATATCTTTTTGACTAACTGCTGGCATCTGAGTCCTGCCAGTGTCTGTTCAGTGTGTTTCCTTTTATCAGCAGCTGGTATCAAACATGTCTGTGGCTCTTTAACCATAGTAGAAGAGGTGGGAGCCATTTATTGGGGTCAGTTAACAGATATGTCCCTGGTCATCACTCTGCTGCTTCATTCTTGACTTCAAATGGACCAGTCCTGCCTCTCAGGGCTAATTTTGGCAAACTGCTCAAACGATTCTGCTTCTGTAGTGCTCTGGTCCCATAGAGGGCCTTCGAGTTTAGATAAACTCCTCCTCCACTGGATTCCGACATTATCTGTGATCCTGAAAGCTGTGCTGTTGTCTGTCGACCCCCGTGCTGCTGGACAGTGGACACGGCCGTCCTGTTCCCTCACAGGACCACCAGCTGATCTTAGATGTCCAGCTGAGCAGGACATCCAAGACAGTAAAAGCACCCAGGAATGTGCAAAACATGTTTGTTTGGATACATCGTTTCATATATCATCACTTGAGGACTTTGTTTACAAGAAAGCATCTGAATAAATGGCTGTTTAATTTACTGCAGATGACAGATGATAACTCTTATGTAAGCAGCTGTCTCCCTCTTTTGCTGTAGCTTTTGCAGGATTACTGCCCCATTGTTATGGGTGGTGGCCACTGCTATGCTAATTGAACATACTCTGTGTCGGGTTCCTTTATCTGTGGTTCCTGATCATGTTGTGTTTATTTTCAGCTCCCCATAATTCTGGATGCCACACATAAAAGATACATTATGTATTTTGATTGCAGATGCATCAAGGAAAAAATTTTCCAGCGTTTTTCCAATCTAAAGTCTTTGACTGGAAAGAAGACCAAACTTTTAGTTTGGCATTGTTAGCATTGATCAGAACTGATTGTGTGATCATCCAGTCACCATCTAATTTTTTGTAACATCTTTGGTTTAACCAGTCGTGGTTAAGTCAGAGGAATACCACTTTTGACTGTATAGTTATCAAAACAAACACGAGTAAAACAGTGTGACATTTAAAGGTTTCAAGTCTAAATACCGGAACTAAAAACTTTCACAGTGAAATAAAATTGTTAATATGAGACAATGTAGAAATGTGAAGACCCCACTGATTTCCTTCAGGTCATGTAAATGGTTCATTCTTTTAATCGTTTCATCTTTTACAGGTTGAACAGCTGACAGATGAACAGAAAAATGGTGCGTGATTTTTATTTTTATTTTATGAATTTTACGGGAGCATTTTCACATCATGTTCCTGCTCGCTAAAGAAAAGCACAGTGTGATGGACAGTTAGATGCATCTGATGCAACTAGATATATCTTTTAAGTACTTTTCCTTTTCTGTGGCGGCCTTGCAGAGTTCAAGGCCGCCTTCGACATCTTTGTGCAAGACGCAGAGGATGGCTGCATCAGCACCAAGGAGCTGGGGAAGGTTATGAGGATGCTCGGGCAGAACCCCACGCCAGAGGAGCTGCAGGAGATGATAGACGAGGTGGATGAAGATGGTAAATCAAAACAGGCAACTGAATGGATGACCTCTTCTTGCCCATAGTTCTTGTTGTGCACACAACAAGAACTGGCCTATCTTGTTGTGCATACAGAGCATCAGTCAGACCCTCTGCACTTAATGTCAAATGCTAGTCAGCGGTCGTGAAAACATCAGGATGCGTCAGGCTGGATTAAACGGGAATTGTGTATCAAATGATGCACAAGTCGTTTTGAATTTTCCATGTGATGTGATGATCAAAGACAGAAAATAACGTTTTGGATTTACCTCAGAAAGGTTTAATATGTGATGTACATTTTGGCATGGTCTCAGATGAAGAATAAGAATGACATTTAAATGTCGTAACAATTTCTGCTTGTCATTGTGAACTACAGGTATCTTCTTGTGTCAGAAACATGAATAATCTCAAATAAAATGGGCTTCACATTAAATCATTTGTGCATAGTTTAAATTATCTGAAATTCCGCTCTGAAAAGGTGATTTGAAATGTGTGTGCGCGTGTGTGTGCAGGGAGCGGCACAGTGGACTTTGATGAGTTCCTGGTCATGATGGTGAGATGCATGAAGGACGACAGCAAAGGGAAGACAGAAGAAGAGCTGGCTGAGCTCTTCAGGATGTTTGACAAGTATGTTTTTATTCTTAAACCCTACTGCCATCAATAAAATATTAATCCCGTAAAAGCAGTTAGCTCATCTTTGGGTTATCTGACAAACAGACGAGTCAATTTCTATTTAACAAGTGGATGCTTTCATCTCAGAGCCTAGTTATTAAATTGAATGTTAATGTGGTTCCAGCAAAGTATGCTCCCCATGTGCAAATTATGAGCTCTGACAAAATGCCAAGTAGCTCTGCAGAGAACTGCATGTAGTTCGCTCCTTAATCGTTCTTGACAGTTCTGAGTATTTCTAACACCCCCTAGCATGTATCCCAGACACCTCATCTGAGCATCAAAGAACAAACTCCCCATTCCTTACTCCCATCATGGTTTCGCAGAAATTTTTAAAGCCCAAGATATGAACTTTCTCGTGATTTTCCTCTAATGCCGCCCTTGAAGCTCTGTGTGAATTTTATGAGAGCACAACATAAATTGCACTGCTTTCTCTGTAGAAACGCAGACGGTTACATCGACCTGGATGAGCTGAAAATGATGCTGGAATCCACAGGAGAAGTGATCACTGAGGATGATATTGAAGAGCTGATGAAAGACGGGGACAAGAACAATGACGGCAAAATTGACTATGATGGTAAGAGGGTTTAAGCTCCTAAAAACAAAGAAGCGTAATGACATAAATCTGTCATTAGGTCATAGGTTTCTAAAAGTATTTGTCTTGACAGCAATAACCCTGTTATGTTTGGTTCAGATCCTGCTTAGCAGACAAATTCTAGGTTGTGTTTATTGGCAATTATACATCTAAATGAGCAAAGACCATACGTGGAGTTTCTCAGGCCTTCGTTTTCACTCAGCATTAATTCAACATTAAATGGTCTCTTTAGCTTTAATTATGGTGAAATAGAAGATCTCCTGCAATACCTATCCATCCTGGAGATGTACTATTTTATATATCTGTGTCATGTCTCGATTATCTAGGACACAGAATTTTCTTTAACTTCATGCAAAACATACTCAAATAAATGGTTAGAGAAGAGCCGTCAAATGGAATCAAAAAGGCTTGAATTCTGAATGTTGTTATGGACTTAGAGCTGTGTATTACCATCTGGGTAAAATACACAACTAAATCTTGTTTACAGACGTTGATTTATAAAATATCTTTCCTTGATTTACTGTTTCATACCAATTTGGCAGAAGTTAAGCGGCTTTCTGAACACGGCTTTCTTATTTTACAGAATTCTTGGAGTTTATGAAAGGAGTGGAGTAACCCTGAGCTGGAGAGGATAAAAGTTATTTTGAGTGTCACTGTGACTCCACAGTCATCTGTGGAAAACTGGATTTGGCTGCAGTTGATGGAAAACAACGGGTCAGCATTGCAAACACATTGTTGAAGACACAATTTTTGACTTTCAATACATTGAATCTGTATAAACGTGTCTGGATCACTTAAAATGTTTGTTGAGACCAAATATTATTTCCCCTATAGATGATTTATGTTGGGTTTTTGTGTTATGCTTCCAGGTAAATGTAATTTTTCAAAGGCTGCAGTCCAGTTCCTAATAAGATGCTGAAGATGTAAATAAACGCAAAGTAAGCTCTTGTTGGAATAATCATTTTATCCAGGAAATGCGCCAGATCCAGTCAGGGTGCATGCCATGATGTACAGTTTCTCAGCGTCTAAAGTCCCATCAGGATATTTTATTCTGTCCAGGTGTTTCAGGTTTGACTGTCTGTTGCACTTGTAAGGTGCACTCGTGTAATAAACAAAATCCGATCAACAATAAGATCCCTCTGTCAGTGCGGTGATTTTGTCTGATTTGACATTTCTCATTTCGTATCGCTAGCTTTAAACATTTTTTTTCTTCTCAAAATTAAATCCCTTCTGCTTCTTTTTGATCCATCTGTGTAATTTCTACTCTGTATTGGATCTTGTTTTTGAGCATGTGAAGTATTCTCATGGTGGTATCCAGTTACACAGCCTGTTGACACAGGAGCTATTTATGTCTAATCATGTTAGTGCTCATGTCAGAGGATCAGCGCCACCAGTTGACAGTCAGATTCCTTTCTCCTTAAAAAGAAATCTGTTGACTACAGAGAGATAACAAGGTTCTATTAGCACAGCTTTAAATTTGGCAGAAATGTTAGCACTTCTAAAGTATCTGAACAGTCGGAGCAAAGTGATAAATCTTAATGTCAGCATGACTTTTATTTGTTTCGGGAAAAAAAATCTACATATTTTTCTAGGCTTTTCTCAAGTGGCACACTTGGGGATCTTTGCAAAATCCTGTTTAATGAAAAACTAAAACATCCTTGTAACTTACTGATAACTCTGTTGTGTAAGCCATCAATCTGTAACACCTTTATACAAAATCAGGAACCCCAGCCATGCAGTTATAATAACGTCCACTTGATGTCAGCAGGACAACATAGACACATGTCTTGTTTTGTTTTTTTGCTTGTATTCCAGTAAATCGAGGAAAACAGATTGCTTTGCACAATTACACTTCTCCAAATATGAATAAATGAATAACACCAAACTGATTTAAAACAATAATCATTCCAGTTGGCTTGAAAATAAAACTATCAATCCATCTATTATAAGTGGCACAAGTAATTTGGAGTGCAATACATAGCTGGAGAAAAATAAAAGCATTTGAACATGGTAAACGTTTTATTATAAAATTCTTATTCAGAATCACTTAACAATCCCAAACGACGTGGCTTCATTTTATTTTGTTGGATTCCTATTTATCTTACCTTATTATTTTTTTCTCTTTTGTAAAAAGCACTGAACTACAATCCCTCTGATGGGACTTCTTTTCTTGAACACTGTGACTCATTTACATTACTCTCAATAATGCATGAAAAGTCTTTTTGTTTTTCTTACTAAACCAAATAGTAAGATAGAATGTTCTATAGGGAAGCTGATGTACTCGATATCCTCTCTCAGATTAAACCACCCTGCTGGCTGAGTTGACTATAGGCTCTGCAGTCAGGATCAAGGGACAGGATGAGCCACGCACTCAGCACCATCAATGAGAGGCTGGGCAGCAGCAGAATATAGTGTGAATGAATTTGGGGTGTGGTGCACTATAGCTGCAAGTTGGGTGGAGAAGTAAACCAGTTACATAAGACCCACTTGATGACTCATGCTTGCTGTTAATAACACACTGCAGATATGAGGCACCTTTGAAATTGTAGCACTTGCCCTAAAAGAAAGAGGATGCGCACGAAGTAGGCTGCAGTAAGCCACCAGCATTATATAACCTCATTCAGCTTAATTCTGCTAAATGGCATAATCCATCGACAGGAAGTGAGTCAAGCAGATGTGTAACTTTTTATAGTAAGACTAAGATTGCTGAACCAGTTCTCATAAATGATTTATTCAAACAACTGGATCCAGTCAAAGTGTGTTACTAAACCATGCCAGGAGCAGCGTGTTTCACAACCCCAGATTCCCTATGATTTATTGATGTGTAAAATCCCCGGAAGAGGGAGGAATACCCCCACATGACACTGAATTTAGAAGGCGCCGACTACTTTCAGACGCCCACACATGCAGATCTCTCAATTGAAGGTGGCAGACTCTGGTTTAGAGGATTCCTGTTTTTTTTCTGCTTAACATCACTCTGCCTTGGACCCGGAAAGAAAGAAAAAAGTCTCTTCTTTCTCAACCTTCCACATGGAGTTAAATACAAAAAACAGGTTCCAAAATTTCCTTTTTGATTTTTCTTAGAAGTCTATTAACAGTGACAGAAAAGTGTTGTTCAGACTATGTCTAAGATATTCAGTTTGTGATACAGCTGACATGTTGTCTTATTTTTATAAACATGTTTTCTAAGATGGTAGAATATTGATAGAATTATTTTCACCGAGGCACTCCTTCACAACATATTACTTCCATGAATGACATAATAGGAAAATAAAAATAAAAAATACATTTAAAAAAATCAGATGGATGATCCTTGGTCACAATGACCAGATTCTTAAAGATGCCGTATCTATCTGTTCAAACTGTGCAAGCATAAACAGCCGTGATGTGGCGATTCAAGAAGAACACAGACTCTGTTCTCTAAAGACAAATGTGCCCGAACGAAAGCAAAAGGCCTCGCAAAGATGATGCCTGAAGCTGGAACCAGAACTTCATTATTCACAAAAAAACAAGTCCTGATTGGTTACTCTAAATTGCCCTTAGGGAAGAATGTGCGTGCACGGTTGCTTGTCCTATCTCTATGTTGCCTCGTAATAAACTGATGATCTTTTCATGATGTATCCTGGCCTGCCTCTTGCCCAAAAACTAACGTAGACAAAAGGACAGAAGACTTAAGGTCACTCGCTTTACTCTGTACTCAGCTCCATGTTGTGATCGTTGTCGCTTGACGTTAAGAACAGTCAAGCTGTCTCTAAGCAAAGTGGCTCAAAATTTGAACCAGTTCCTCCAGTTCTGTAAAAAGGAATGAGTCATAATTCCACCAAACAGAATTCATTTTGGTCAGACAGTGAGTAACAAAAAGTTAGGTCTTCTTATGTAATTTACGTAAATGTGTGGTTTGAAGCCTAAATATGTACTCTTGGATGTTTGTCTGCGTACGTAGAACCAAATCTAGGTTGTTTTTCTTGCCATAAATACACAATGAGGAAGTGGAACACTTCTGACTGAGAAAGAGTGGAAGCTCTGCGGATCAAGCTGGAACAGACAGAATATTGTATCATGACGCTCCATCCCACTTCTGGTGCTGAAAACACTGAAGTACTGTCTCTGGACAGCCCCGCCATAATGGCCCATAGAGAAGTAAGACCACAATACACAGAAATCCCAAATTCCACTGAAAGCTATTCATTGATTCCCATGAATAACAGTAATTGTTTTCTTTTAATGCAGCTCCAGAGGGTTTATCTATTTTTACCAGCATTTAAAGAGAAACTTGAAGTTATGAAATGATAGGGGAAGAACAGGCAGCAATGTGAAAAGTGAAAATACTGACCTCTTAAGACTGATCAAATGTTTCAACTTTTTTTGGAACAGTAACTAAAACAACGTCGTCTTTCTGTACCTTGAACTTAAAGAACCATAGACAGATTTTGAAACGTCATTCCAAGCCGTGTTGGAAAGTCTGAAAATAAATACTGCTCTATATCACTATAAGTTAGCATATTAATGCCACTATTTCCTTCTTATTCATTTAGGTCTAAGACAATCAACACACATACGCTGTACTATGTGTGTTGCGTATTCACGTTCTTCCTCTTTTGAAGAATGTGTTTGTGTATAAAAAAACAACCACTTATTTATTTTTTTACGTTTTGTTGTTGCAACCCTTCATTTTCCTTCCATATGATATTAGGCTTATGCAATAAAATATCGACTTATTTGAAGTCTTCTTTACAACTTTGCCAGATGTAAAGATATATTAAAGAGCTAAACGTGTGTTGTTTAACAGAGTGTCTGTTTCTCGTGGCCTAAAATGATTCCACCAGAGAGCAAGACAACTGAAGGCAGAAAAATAAAACATTGGCTAAACTGCTCACAACACTCAGTCAATCACCACAGTGATTTTCTCATTGTTTCTTTTCATTATTTTTTTTTTATTACTTTTTTTTTTTTTTTAACTACAAAATCTACTTAGTGCCTCTGCCTACTGCATTTGGGTCCATCATCACCATACTCATCATGACAATTTCAGATGTTTATAAGAAAAAATCTTTCTTTCCATATCACAGTTTTGTTATTTTATGTTGGCTTATCACATTAAATACCAACAAAATCCATTACAGTTTGACAGAAAACGTAAAAAGGTTAAACATTTTTCTTCATCATGTACTATAAATGTTTCAGGCCAATTCAAAGTATTTTTACAAACATAGGGACATTCTCTTTAACTTACTGAAAGATCTCTGACAGGAAGCAGCATATGGCCATGTGTGAATGGCATACCAGACAGTAAGGCAGCTCCCAGCAGTGCCTCCTCCTCTAAATTTTTTTTTTCTTAATGTGACCACATGACAGACAGATGACCTTTAATTTGTATTGGGCCTCAGAGGACACAAATAAGGTTTCCTTTTCATTTACTTAGCCAAAGATTAAACTGCAAACAAACATCACTTTGTGCTTGGCCGGAGCACTCTACCGTACTTTGCCGCATGGTGAAATTGGCCACGAAACTAGAGACTTCTGGTGCTAACAGATGGCTGCCTCAGTCTGCCACAAAGATGTGCCATGTGGCTCTGCTTTACACATGACCCACTATATGGGTTGCCAAAACTCACACTCACTCCGGTGCCTGGGAGAACATACACGTCTTTCAGAGAGGGCCGAGGAGTCACAAGAGCTCTGTTTTAAACAGATAGTTTATCTGTCGGAGGTTGTAGCCGCGATAAGAAACTTCCTGTTAGTCGGCTTAAAGGTCCAGCAGATATCCTTCTTCATGACAACACAGCAAACATGAGGATTAGACTGAAATAACTTGCAGTTAACTTGGCCTTTTCACATGGAGCGAGAACACAAACAGTCAGGCCTCACTGAATGTCTAAATGACTCACTCATCTATATGTATGTGAGAGAGCCAGTCTGACTTTTTCACAGAGGTGTATTTCCTTATGTACATGGGGAAGTAGGAAGAAAATACATGTAATTCAAGAGTTCTGGGAAAGGACTGGCAATCCCCATAAAATGGGAGATGAAATCCCTGGCATGTTCACGCATACCGTTCCACCGCAGTCACTCATCCCACTATAAGGCCCGACTAAAGACTATTTCTAGGATTTCTATAAAGGTCTTTGGAGA